CCGGCCCGGAGGAAGCCCGGGGTCCCCTTCTGGAGCCAGGCCCAGAAGGAGGACTCGTCGCCGAGCGTCTGGTGGCCGGGCTTGCCACGGAGCCCGGCCGGGCCCAGCCCGAAAAAGCAACGTGGGCAACACCTCCGCTTCTCCGTCCCGCGGGCCCACCACCTACGGGAAACATCGATGGGGTCGGGTGCGCTGCCAGAAGGGTGGCAGTGAAAGCGGAGGGTCTCGACGGACCAGACCCGGGCGACAGAAGCTGGCTTTGGGGACGTGGAACGTCACCTCTCTGGGGGGGAAGGAGCCGGAGCTTGTGCGGGAGGTGGAGCGTTACCAGTTGGATCTGGTTGGGCTCACCTCTACGCACAGCGTCGGCTCTGGAACCTTACTTCTGGATAGGGTTGGACTCTATTCTTCTCCGGAGTTGCTCAAGGTGTGAGGCGCCGGGCGGGTGTGGGGATACTCACAAGTCCCCGGTTAGGTGCTTCGTTGTTGGAGTTTACCCCAGTGGACGAGAGGGTCGCCTCCCTACGCCTGCAGGTTATGGGGGGGAAAACTCTGACTGTTGTGTGTGCTTATGCACCCAACAGCAGTTCAGAGTATACGGCCTTCTTGGAGACCCTGGAAAGAGTCCTGTATGGGGCTCCTGAAGGGGACTCTTTAATCTTGCTGGGAGACTTCAACGCACATGTGGGCAATGATGGAGACACTTGGAGGGGCGTGATTGGGAGGAACGGCCCCCCTGATCTGAACCGGAGTGGTGGTTTGTTACTGGACTTCTGTGCTAGTCATGGATTGGCCATAACAAACACCATGTTCGAACATAAGGATGCTCATAAGTGTACGTGGTACCAGAGCACCCTAGGCAGAAGGTCCATGATCGATTTCGTTATCGTATCATCGGACCTGAGGCCGTATGTTTTGGACACTCGGGTAAAGAGAGGGGCGGAGTTGTCAACTGATCACCATCTGGTGGTGAGTTGGGTCGAGTGGCGGGGGAAGCCTCTGGATAGACCTGGTAAGCCCAAACGTGTAGTTCGGATGAACTGGGAACGTCTGGAGGAGGCCCAAGTTCAGGAGGCCTTCAACTCACACCTCCGGCGGAGCTTTTCGGGCATTCCTGTGGAGGTTGGGGACATTGAACCAGAGTGGTCGGTGTTCAAAGCCTCTATTGCCGAAGCCGCGGCGGGGAGCTGTGGTCTCAAGGTCCTAGGTGCCTCAAGGGGCGGTAACCCTCGAACCTCCTGGTGGACACCGGTGGTCAGGGAAGCCGTCCGACTGAAGAAGGAGGCCTTCAGGCAGTTGCAAGGTACCGACAGGCCCGAAGGGCAGCAGCCTCATCCGTGGCCGAGGCAAAGCAGCGGGTGTGGGAGAAGTTCGGAGAAGACATGGAGAAGGACTTTCGGGCGGCACCAAAGTTGTTCTGGAAAACTGTCCGACACCTCAGGAGGGGGAAGCAGGGAACCATCCAAGCTGTGTACAGTAAGGATGGGACGTTGTTGACCTCAACTGATGGAGTGTTAGGGCGTTGGAAGGAACACTTTGAGGAACTCCTGAACCCGACAACTCCGCCCTCTATGTTAGAGGCAGAGCTGGAGTATGACGGGGGATCAACACCAATCTCCCGGGGGGAGGTCACTGAGGTCGTCAAACAACTCCACAGTGGCAAAGCCCCGGGGGTGGATGAGATCCGCCCGGAAATGCTGAAGGCTCTGGGTGTTGAGGGACTGTCATGGTTGACACGTCTCATCAACGTTGCGTGGAAGTCGGAAACAGTACCGAAGGAGTGGCAGACCGGGGTGGTGGTCCCCCTTTTTAAAAAGGGGGATCAGAGGGTGTGTGCCAATTACAGAGGCATCACACTACTCAGCCTCCCCGGGAAAGTTTACTCTAAGGTACTCGAAAGGAGGGTCAGGCCGATTGTCGAACCTCAGATTGAGGAGGAACAATGCGGATTCCGTCCTGGTCGTGGAACGACGGATCAGCTTTTTACTCTCGCAAGGATCCTGGAGGGGGCCTGGGAATACGCTTATCCGGTCTACATGTGTTTTGTAGACTTGGAGAAGGCGTATGACCGAGTTCCCAGGGAGTTACTGTGGGAGGTGCTGCGGGAGTATGGGGTGAGGGGGTCTCTACTCAGGGCCATCCAATCTCTGTACTCCCAAAGCGAGAGCTGTGTCCGGGTCCTCGGCAGTAAGTCGGATCCATTTCCGGTGAGGGTTGGCCTCCGCCAGGGCTGCGCTTTGTCACCAATCCTGTTTGTAATATACATGGATCGGATTTCGAGGCGTAGTCATGTGGGAGGGGGTCTGCAGTTCGGTGGACTAAGGATTGCACCACTGCTTTTTGCAGATGATGTGGTTCTAATGGCTTCATCGGTCTGCGACCTTCAGCACTCACTGGATCGGTTCGCAACCGAGTGTGAAGCGGCTGGGATGAGGATCAGCACCTCCAAATCTGAGGCCATGGTTCTCAGCAGGAAACCGATGGACTGTCCACTTCAAGTAGGGAATGAGTCCTTACCCCAAGTGAAGGAGTTCAAGTATCTCGGGGTCTTGTTCTCGAGTGAGGGAACAATGGAGCGTGAGATGGGCCGGAGAATCGGAGCAGCGGGAGCGGTACTGCAGTCGCTTTACCGCACCGTTGTGACGAAAAGGGAGCTGAGCCAGAAGGCAAAGCTCTCTGTCTACCGGGCCATTTTCGTTCCTACCCTCACCTATGGTCATGAAGGATGGGTCATGACCGAAAGAACGAGATCGCGGATACAAGCGGCCGAGATGGGTTTTCTCCGCAGGGTGGCTGGTGTCTCCCTTAGGGATAAGGTGAGAAGTTCGGTCATCAGGGAGGTACTCGGAGTTGAGCCGCTCCTCCTTCGCGTCGAAAGGAGCCAGTTGAGGTGGTTCGGGCACCTAGTTAGGATGCCACCTGGGCGCCTCCCTAGGGAGGTGTTCCAGGCACGTCCAGCTGGGAAGTGACCAAGGGGTAGACCTAGGACCAGGTGGAGGGATTATATCTCTTCGCTGGCCTGGGAGCGCCTTGGGATCCCCCAGTCAGAGCTGGTTGATGTCGCCAGGGAAAAGAAAGTTTGGGGCTCTCTGCTGGAACTGCTACCCCCGCGACCCGACCACGGATAAGCGGAAGAAGATGGATGGATGGATGGATGTACTGTACCCAATATACAAGCTGTTAATAAACTTTTCAATCAATTCAATCAATCAGTCCAACCCCTATCCAGAAGTAAGGTTCCAGAGCCACGCTGTGCGTAGAGGTGAGCCCAACCAGATCCAACTGGTAACGCTCCACCTCCTGCACAAGCTCCGGCTCCTTCCCCCCCAGAGAGGTGACGGTCCACGTCCCCAAAGCCAGCTTCTGTCGCCCAGGTCTGGTCCGTCGAGACCCTCTGCTTTCACTGCCACCTTTCTGGCAGCGCACACAACCCCATCGCCAGGGCCGCCCCTGGCCAACTTGGGGCCCCAAGCGACATTGTGAGATGAGGCCCCCCCCCCCCCCAACCGACAGGAGTGAAAAAAAATGTTTTGGAAACAAAGTAGGCTACTTTGCAAATATAATTCCTGTTTATTATTATTATCAACAGTTACTTTTTTATACAGGTTTATATGGTACATGTGCATGTGTCGCTCAGTAGGCCTAAGCCTTTACAGGTGAATACGTCTGTATTTCCTGCCAAATACTAGCCTCAAAAAGATTACAATATAATTAATGCAAATAAACGACTTCTACTAATAATAATAATAAACATTTCAATAATATAAATACTATATTATTTTATTATAATATAGTTGTAATATAGTCAAGACAAAACATGCTTATTACATGCTCAAAAACTGATATTTCTTAAATCTGTATTCAAATGTAGTTCAATCTGTCAGCAATGTCCCAACAACTACACACACATTTCTATCAGTATTTCTCTGTGTTGTGGTTGACGTGATGATGACTGTTAGGAGTTAAGGGGAGAGGCTGAGCATCACCATGAAATGTGCAAATTGACATAAAAATGAATAAAAGGGGAACAAATGCTCCACGTTTTTTAGGCTGTAAACTTTAACTGTTATGTAAGCCAACTAGACAGACAGTGTATCACTCTTCCTCCTGTACATTAGCAGATAAGAGGCATAACATACTTGAATGAATGGTAAATAAAGAATGCTGGAAATAACTGCATCTCCATTAGCCTACATGCTATGCAGAGACTGCCTTCTTCATGTCGTGAATTGCAGCTGATGTTTTAATATGGCAAGTGGCAATTTGACTTATACAACATTCACAAGTTGTACATTTGACTCATACAATAACCCACCTTCGGGTGATGCTCTAGTTTCTTCATGTTTTGTTTTTTTTCCCTCTTGCTTGCGCCGGACTGAAACTGTCTTTTCAGCTACATCTCTTCACCTGCACTAGTGGCCGTATCAAAGCCGTGATTGGTCAGATGTCGATTCATTGCAACGGTGTCGGGTTACAGACGTGCTCCGCTTGTCACCTCTCACTCTCACTCTCGTGGGGGGTGCGCGGAGAACTGAGCGGAGAACTGCGCACAGCAGCTGATGCCCTCTGGGCGGGGCCCCATGCAGCCTGCGTGATTGGCCTGTAGGGAGGGGCGGCCCTGCCCATCGCTGTTTCCCGTAGGTGGTGGGCCCACGGGACGGAGAAGCGGAGGTGTTGCCCACGTTGCCTTTTCGGGCTGTGCCCGGCCGGGCTCCGTGGCAAGCCCGGCCACCAAACGCTCGCAGACGAGTCCTCTTTCTGGGCCTGGCTCCAGAAGGGGACCCCGGGCTTCCTCCGGGCCGGGTATCCTTACTTCTTGGTTTTTCTTTCATGAGGTCTTTGAACTCCGAAGAACCAACACCTTACCGTGGTGGAGAGGTTTGTGTGCCCTGATGAACCTGGGGGCTGTGTTGTCTGGAACCTTGTGTTCCTGGTAGGGTCTCCCATGGCAAATTGGTCTCAGGCCAGGGGCCAGACAAAGACCTCATGAAAGAAAAAACAAATATCACATGACATTTAATGCAAAAAGGTAGGCCCATCCTCTTTTTGCATGACTGGACAGATACAGCATGTAAAGTATCCAGAACGCACCATGAATTGTTGATTCACACAGCAAAAGTGTATAAAGGTGTTTGACAGTACAAGTATGAAATCTCTCATGGCACCTCAGTTCAAAAAAGCAATGGAAATTACAGTGCATAACTAAATGCACAAACACGCAGGCACACGCACACACACCATATGAGATTGTATAGGCAAAACGTACATTTAAAAAAGGGAACATTTTTGAGGAACGCAACCACAAGTCTATTGCTAAGAGATTCCTGATCAGGTCCATACAGCTAATGTTTTCAAAAATGTTCTCCTGAGCCTTCAACCAAACATCTTATTATCTTTGCCTAGCACCTAAATTCATTATTTTTCAGTTGGGATGCCAGCATTAACACTGAAAACAAATGCAAACCACTAGCCTGGCTCCGTTCATAGGTAAAAACAGTCCACCTATATCAGTACCTAAAACGTTTTGTATGCTTTTTATTTTGTTACATTTCTACCGAGCCAGGCTAGCCGTTTCTCCCAGTTTTCAGTTTTTAAGCTAAACTAAGGTGAGCGAAATTATGAAATGCTCAAGTCTGTTAGCTCCAGATTCACATTCAATAGGCTGTCACAAGAGTGCAATACATTGTTTTATCCAACCCTCAGTAGCAAAGCAAATATGTTTTATTCCCAACATGTAATGTCTATTTCTTTGTAGTAGCTGTTTGGTACCAGGGGTGGTATCAAAATAAAGGTCCCATTTAAAAGTATCTCATTTTATATAATAAACTGTAAATGTAACAATGCTTTCTGTGTACTGGCCACATACTGCACTTCAAGGGAATACTACACAACAGTGCAGCAGTAAAACACAACAACTTGTTTAAAATATCCCTCATGGCTTTGTACAAACACTCCAGAGCTACCGGGTTAAATACAATAAAATCAAATAAACAAGACACAATTGCGTATATTGTTGAGTATACTGACATGAGAGCAAATAACACACAGCCATTGAGGGAGGTAACGGTAAAATAAACTTGAGGTGAAACTGTCGCTTTGTTATTGAACTCCGTGACTGAATAATGTCATCATGAAGTTTTGCTCCCTGCTGAGCAATGCAGTTGTTGAGATACATGTTCAGTGTCTGCTTCCTTTCAGGACAATATTTGCACGTACAGGTGGCTTTTCAAGTAGCGAATTTAACACATAAAAAAAGTGTGTTTATAATTGTTGATGTCCTTGAGTCAAAGGCATTCCCATGGTTTTATTTTCTTTGGATGCCTCCACTTAGTAGTTATTTACCACAAATTGGCAAGTCAGATGTAAACATGTGCAGATAGTCTTTGAATGCCATCAATAATGCCAATCAAGTTTTCTTCCAGTTTATCTCCACAACTTAAAATCCACAATTTTTGGTCATTCATCAGGTGTCCTTGGTCCATGGTTTTCAGGGTCTGTTATCTTTGGCCAGGGAGTGCATCATCCAGTTGACCTTGGTCTTCCAGCTTTCCCGTAGAGCCTCGTTGAACTTTACCTTGAAATTCTTCAGTGCCTCTTCCTCTGATTTGCCCAAAGCTAGTGAGTCCTTTTGAAAGACAATGAACAAAACAATGTCAACACTATGATAGCTCTCATAATTATCATCAGTGATTATTGTTGCATACCTTTAGGTACTGGATGTCTTTGAAGGAGGTGAGCTCTGGCAGTCCTGCTGCCTTCATCATAGCGAAGAGGTTGACGAAGAGCGTCCCGTTCCGACACAGGATCTTGTAAGCCCGCTCGCAGTACTCCCTGAACCTGACAACACGATCACATAATCAGACATTGCTTCTAAAATGTGCAAACAGAATGCTACATCAGTAAGGAATCGAACAATACTGTACCTCTCAAACTTCTCACTGTTGTTTGTCCTTCCTTGTTGGATCACATGGACAAAGTCATAGGTCAAGATGAACGGCACACGCTCCCTGTTGATCCCCAGTTTCCGCTTGAAGTTGCCCAGGAAATGCCCAAAGTCAATGTGAAACAGCTGAGGAGCAAAGGTGAAAAGGAGTTCTGAATCACTTCAGGCACATTTGTTAAAAACTCACAAAATGCTGAATGACCTATAGTATTTCAATGAAAGGTGACCTCATCTGGCAAAAAAACTTACTGAGTATTGTTAAGATTGCTAGACATTTTTTAAAACTCATAACCCTTGTCTTTAATAAATGTGTACTTTTTAAACAACAAAAAGGAACAGTTCACCCCAAAATATTGTTTTCCTCTGACCAGTATTGCTATTTATTAGTCTAGCTTTATTATATAAGCTGTGATAAGCCGTGGGTTGGTGATATTGTCTGTCTGCCATCTCTCAAATATAATGTAAGTACAATAGATGGCGCTAGGCTTGTTGTGTCCAAAGTGACAGAAAAATAAACAACAGAAATGTCTCTTTCCAGAAATGGTGACACAGAAACTCTTGATAATCCAAAGACTTTGTTGTGAGAAGTTCAATGTAGGAACTTACTAGGGCTGTGCGATTATGGCAAAAATCATAATCACGATTATTTGGGTCAATAATTGATATCACGATTATTTTGACGATTATTCATTGACCATTTATTGAACTTTAAAACAAATAATATTTTACCAATAAACAAGAACAAATATGTTGGAGCGCACTTCCAAAACCATACTAAACATATATTATTAATATGATAAATAAAAATAAATTGGACCAAAATAAATTAAATCAAATATGTTGCAGTGCACTGTCACAACCTACTGAAAACTCCTTAACATATAGCCAACATTTTGGTAAAACATATTCAACATATTCCACTCAGTTAAACGTTGAAGGCTGGCCAACCGTCATGGTCCAGAAGTAACAGGAAATAAATGTTGAACTACAATTTAAGACCAAATAAAAAAAAATGTAGGCCACCATGGCAAATGCTGGTAGGGCTGCTCATGTCATCTCTTAAAGATTTTTTGCAATAAACAACAGCCCGTTTACATGGTCTGGTTTCAGAGATGAGCGCAGGCAGGTGACGATATTGCCACCTGTACTGAAGACCCTCAGCCACGCTCCGACACATGTGACGCCGGCCAATCACAAAGCTTTGATGCGTTCAAGTGCATTATTTTGGCACAGGAAGATTATGTTACAGGACATTAACGATAAAACAGAATATTGTTGTTCTATTTGTAGACACATCTCGCGATCGACTGGTTGGGCACCCCTGGGCTAGACCATAGGTCTGTTGTGGTAGCAAAGTAGTCAGCTGAAGCCACATCTCTCTCAACTTCCCCACGGCATTTGTCATATAGTGCAGGCAGCGCAGACCTGCTGAAATAATACCGAGACGGCATCGCGTAACGCTTGTCCAACGTGTTGACAAGTTGCTTAAAGCCCTGGTTGCTAACAGTGCACATATCTTTAGCGATGTGAAATGTAATGGCAAAGTACTTGCAAATAGTGGAAATAGTTTTACCCTTCTTTTTAACGAGTTGCTGCTCTTGTTCTGACATCTTCGCTCTCGCTGAACACTCACAACACATGTCACTCCCACGTGGCCGAGTGGGCTTTTAGGGAGAGGCGAAAGCGCACCCAGCAAAATAATCGTATTTTGTCAATTATGCTGTTTTCATAATCGTCGCAAGCTATAATCGTAATCGCGATTAAAATACGATTAATTGCACAGCCCTAGAACTTACCTACCAAACTACACTCCCCAACTAGTAAGCACACATCTTGGTAAATTACACCAAAGAAATACAGATTGTTGGATATCAAGCACTACTTGTTAGAGTAAAAATATATATTTTTGATTTAGGGTGAAATGTTCCTTTTCAGCAGCAGTGACATCTACTATCCCATTATTTTTGGCCAATTGTATTAAGTGTTACATACTACATTATGAAACAGAGCACAGACAGCCACACATCTCACACTCATATGTTTAATCGCCCCCTTGTGGTAGAGTTTAGTGCTGTAATGTGATGAAAGATATCACAGAGGTAAGACTCACCTGTCCAGTTTCCCTGATCATGATATTGTCGTTGTGACGATCTCCAATGCCCAGGACGTAAGTAGCTACACAGTAGCCAGCGCAGGACAGTGTGAACTCTTCTATTGCCTGCTCCAGTTTATCCCTGATGAGAAAAAAGATCAGAGAAATAAGCAACAAAGCAAGAGTGGGATTTTTTTCACATGTTTATTCATTAGCATATCATATACCCCTCGTTAATTAGCTTTTTCAAGCAGTATGAAAAAAAGGTTAAACGGTTGAGAACACTGTAATGTTGTTATAAGCATATATAGGTTCACCTACTGAATAAAAAGAAGAATGAATGAACTAAAGAAAGTGAAAACCATAAAGCAAATTCAGGTAGTAGGCGTATAGATTCCCACTTAAAGTATTAGCCTACAGAAAAGTACAGCTTACAAAGAAGAAATTAAATCTGATCCTTTTACCTCAAACATAATATGCTCTTTTTTGGGTTTTCCTAACATTGTAATCCTACAAGAAATGTAACCTGATTACGTGTTTTTTTAATGTCGCTTTGGACAATCTCAAGGACCGCCTTCTTTCATCTACGTAACATTGCAAAAATCAGGCATATCTTGCCTCAAAACGATGCAGAGAAACTAGTCCATGCATTTCATTTCAATTCAAACCTTTATTTAATCAGATTGGTCCCATTGAGATCATAGATCTCTTTTTCAAGGGAGACCTGCATTCGTTACTTCAAGGCTGGATTATTGTAACTCTTTATTATCAGGGTGTACCAAAAAGTAAGTTAAGTCGCTTCAGCTAATTCAAAATGCTGCAGCACGTGTTCAACAATTAAACTCTCTTCTATGAACTTTTGGTCATTCATTATCGGTTTACATACCAGCCGGATTTGTATTTCCTGTTATGTACTTGCATCTGCTGCTATACTGTTTGTAACTATAAAAAAATGGTAAAGTATAACCAACAATAATAAAAATATCTGTTTAAAACAAAGCCAGCGGCTGTGACACATTTCACACATCATTGCGTGTCAATTCCCTTTAGTATTAAAAATATTTAAGGTGTTATTGTTGTGAACCCTTTTGCTATGTTTGTCACAATGCGCTCGGACGCATTCGTGTTGTAGATTTTTACGAGAATCCAATGGACCTATTCTAAGTTTAAGGGGGTTGCTTGTTATTTTTTGATTGTGTTATCATCGTTATTTTTACCTATATGACTTTCAAATTAATCAATTAAACAAAAAAAAAGTATAAAATAAGCACAACATTTGTTTTTGTTGTACACACTTCATACAGACAAAACATGACTAAAACTAGTATCGAATATAATTCGGCAACAGCTCTGGATAAAATCTGTGGCTCTTAGCAGCGTTTTATGTTGATATAATGGACCCAACGCTGAGTTCCTGGAGTTTAACCGGGTCATCACTTCTAGAGACATTAATACAATATCTTCATTGTATAAGATGATACGGAGCCCTAAAGGGACATGAAAGTCTGGATAACGGGTTAGTTTCTCGTGGCCGAAATGTCCTTAAAATTAAGTCTGAGTTCGAAATATATCTCAAATAATGTATGCACTGTCATTTCCCCACATAAACATAACAGTCTGCAATGAAATTGTTGTCTCCTGTGTGCTCCACTTCCTCCTTGGCGCACCGGTAACTTTCTCAAAAAAAAAAAAAAGAAAAGCCGGGATAGTTTCTCGTGAGCACGAGAAACTAACCCGTTATCCCGACTTTTCTTTTTCTCTCTTTTTTTTCTTCTTTTCATGTCCCTTAGGGGCTCCATAAAATGACATTATATGACTTCAAATAAAACCATTATGTAAAAGTTGCCCATCATACTCACTCAGGATTCTTAGATTTGAGCCAGTTGAGAAGGGCATCCTTGTTGAAGGCAGCGGTTAATAAGGCACTGTTGCTGCTGTTACGCTGGATGTTGGCGATGGTGTCGGAGTTCTTCACAACTTCAATGAGCCCCATCTTGTTCCCAGTGGACAAGCAGCCATATGGGATCATCCTGTAAATGTATGGTGAAAGTAACATTATTAGGTTGGTCTAGAAGACTTCCTTGTGCAAAATAATCAACAGCTGCTGCAGAGAGCTGCTCCCACGTTACCTGAGATCCAGGCCTTCTTTCTTCCATAAATTCTCCATGAGCTGGATCATCTGGAGGGTCAACATGTCTTGGCGAAGATCTAGGAGAAAAGTAGAAAAAAGTATATATTTATAGAAAAAATATATATCTTGATTTTATTGTCAACATTTCCTTTTGTTAGATTTGTATTCAAATAAAAAAGCATTAAGATAATGTAAATATGTAATGAGAAACATTTTTTAAAACGGTGTTCATGGCAGCATTTACTTCATGATTCATCAAGCCAAGGACTCTGACTCTTCTGACAAGATTAATCAAACTTAAATGTCATGCTAACTTTACACTGGTATTTTTTGTCTTTTCCAAACCGGCTGGGTATGTTTATCTTTAGGCAAGGCAAGTTATTTATTTAGCACCTTTCAACACAAGTCAATTCATAGTGGATGTCACAGGCTATTTTAATGTGTAACCTTGCAATTTTTGTGCTAAACTTTAGTCAACTTTAGCTTAAATCTTGACACTATGTAGCTACTCTATGCTAAAGTGTGCTGAATGTGTGTGGCCATGTCTTCAGATGTTCTTGTTTCTCACCATCTCCGCTCTTGAAGATGATGCCAACCATGTCTTCTTGAACCTTGGGGTTATACATCAGCCAGATCGGCTTCATCTTGGAGTCCATAAACCTGCACCTGTCTGCACTGCAACCACAAACAAACATGTTATCACTATAACAGCGACAGGACCAAGACTGCAGACAAGTGTATTGTAAAGTTTAGAAAATTCCTGTTTCACAAAATACATTGCAGTTTTTAACCCTGGTTACATTTTTACTTGGCGTTGTTAATGATTTAGGCCTATCTTCTTTTTGTCGCTGCTTTTAATTGAACTATTCATATCTTAGACTGCACTGTAACTTTGATCCATGTATTTTTTCTTTTAATGTTTATTTTATTAGCTTTTCTTTTTAATGACTGATTTTAAATGCCATTTTCTTAATGTCTTTCATTTTTTGTAAAGCACTTTGAATTGCCTTGTGTTGAAAAGTGCTATATAAATAAACTTGCCTTGCCTTACCTAAGAAATTGTAAAATTCGGTCAAGGACAATCAAGTAAGAGCCAATATTGTATTTCTTTAAAAATAAGGGGATAAAGATGGTTTGGGAAAGAGTAAAAATACTTAATAATTTCAGCTGTGAGAAAAAACTGTAAGATGGCATTAAGTGCAATTCTAAATCAAACAAAGTCTACTGGTTTTGTGATGATTATGGGTTAATTGTTCTACTGTATACTGTATGCTAAGTAAATGTCATATTTCGTAATTCAGTAAACATAGAGAGTGACCAAAGCTAACCCTGAATACCCAACCGTTTGTGTGCATGTCACTAACCAGATGTCAGCGAGGATGACGCTGGGGTTGAGCGGGGACAGCAGGTCTGACAGAGCCTCCATGTACGACTCCTGTCTGATACACAGCTTCAGGTCATCCGCTGTCATCTTCTGGGAGCCCGACTTCACAAAGTCACTCAGGGCCTTCATTTTGCCCAGGGCCTCGATCTATGTGGGAGAGATAAGACTGAGATTTAGTACAAAACAATATCATAGTTTCTGGGCTTGACGTCAGCTTGTTTTAGTGTGATGGGATTACCTGTTTGGATAAAAGCTTGATGTGGTGGATGTTTCCTCTGCAGTATGCTTCCAGAATCAGACCAAAACGTAAACTCACAGACGTCACATGAATCTCTGACCTACAGTAAACACAAATTCTCTTGTCAAACAAAAGGGTGCAGATGCCATCAATTTTGTGTTTTTCTGCTGGATAGCATCTCACCTGAGATGCCAAAACAGGAAGTGTCCTATCCTCCAGTTGGACAAAGCCCTTTCCAGCAGGAAAGTGGTGAGGTCACAGTCTAAGTAGGACTCGTACTTCAGGACCTGGACCAGCTGGATTAGGTACTGCAGCAGTTCAGCATCACTGTGGGGAGGAAGTTTAAAGTCAAAATGTGTGATGCTATATAGATATGAGCAAAAACATGCACATAAATATAAAAGGTACAGCATGTATCTATCAGACCCTCCAGAAAAACGCGATTATGCGATCGCATAATTTACCGCATAATCAGCAAAATGAAAAAATCGAATCCATCTCATTTACCGACGGACATTTCTGCTAAAGACCGGGCAAAGCAGTACCCCGATGTCTTGCACGAAAGTGGGGGGAAACTATTCTGCACCCCGTGCAACTGTGTGTTGGAGCATAAGAGAAAATCGACGGTGACGACCATAGCCGCGGGAAGTCATTTTGCTCAGGGGGTGCTGCCAAAAGTGCGGAGGGAGCGGCTTAAAAAAAAAAAAAAGGCGGTGCGGAGCCGGGCCCGGCTGTCAGCGATACGAGCCGCATACATTGTTTGTTAAAGGCGAGACACGGCAGGCAAAAACATCGTTTTTCATGCACTGGTCAATTTTGAGATGTTGTACTATTTTGATTCCATAACATGTTTTCTTTCAGGCTTTTGGAAGGAAAACGTACAAAATACACATTTAAGTGTTAATTTTACTATAGTTGGTCTATTTGCGTCTGTATATTTCTCCTAAATTCACCAAAAGTTAGCATTCTAACCAGGGTTCGAGTTATAAACTGAGCTCTATGGGGGTCTTTAAAACTAACGCATGCCTGCGCCTGCACGCGCGCACGTGCACAGGCATAGATTGCGCAATAATGTATTGCGCACCTTGGCGGTGCAGACTCCAACTGATGGTATATATTGCACACCCTTGAGAGTATACAATTAGTGTCTGATGTGTTAGGGCTTCAAAGATAATTACAAAATCACAAAAACTCAGGAACTCTGTACTTGTGGAGCGTCACAAACAGCGCCTCCGTTTATTAGGTTTTACTCTCTCTCCACAACTTCAGGACAGACTGCGCATGCTCAAACACATGAACTCGTACACAATCAATAACAACGTAAGAGCTATACAAATTAAAGAAAATACAAAAATTAGCTCTCACAGATAAAACGAGAGAGAGACTGACTTCACTTTACGTGGTCCAACAAACACACACGCACACACAGACACACACGCACCTTTACGCAGATAAAATAGCCCAAAGTGGTCTGTTTTCAGCAGGCTGTGGTCGCGGTCCTGGAACCCATGATGTGGAAGTCCGATGTCCTTTATTTATCCACGATTGGATGAATGGTAAAGGGTCAAATGTGTTGATAAGAGGCCCATTTAAGTCCACAAACAACAATGCGTTGAGGCTTCTGGCTCGCAGCCGGTTCCTGGTCTTGCAGTCGGTGTCATTGCATGCCGAAAAGCCCCTCTCGCACTCTGCAGATGTCGGAAGAACAGTGTTGCTCGCCACTATCATTCTTTTCAAGGTTTTACCCTGATGTTCCTTGCCTTGTTGTTGTAGTTTCCAGTCTCTGAACTCACTGACAGCTTCAGTTGCAGACTCTCCGAGAAGTTTAGCAAACTTCCCCACCTCCCTTTCTCCAAACAGAACAAGCTCTGTCCTCTCTTTTGGCCAGAAGTGCTGATCCAGAGGCTTCAACAGGGGTAGACATTAAGGGTAAAATGCCACTGGCCCTCCGGGCCGGTGGACTTGTATTATCACTGGCCCCACCATTGTAACCACTGGCCCGGAGCATGCGTCCACCAAAAAAAAAAATCGACTAATAATGAAGAAAATTAACACATTGTTGCAATAGTAATTTATGCTACATTACTACTTGTACTACAACATTTGAATCATCAGTTCTTCCTCATTTTCCTCAATTGTTCATATATGGTTTATTAAAATAAAGATATTGTGGTCATTGTTAAAACATTTCTGCTATTATTATGAGTATTATTATTTGTATAATGCACTTTCTGCCTTCCTGTAATTAGGAGTTAGACATGTAATGGCTATAGATTAGATTAGAACCTTCATTATCCTAAACTGCTGGGACATTTCGCCAATACCTTTATATTTTCTACTCTTCACTTACTTGTCAGCATAGGTCGGCATTGATGTACAGAGCCGACAGAAGACTTTGTTTATATTGGCATCATATTGAGAGGTGCAGCCAGTGACGCATCCTAAAACCAGGAAGTAAGCTGCTGGTTCCCTCGACAAAAAGCAATGGGATTTCTCCACAGGGTTTTGGAAAATAGCTGGAAATAAGGTCTGTGGAAAACTAACCTGATAAATGGGTCATTCTACAGAAAAGGTGGAATCTGGGTGATACAAATCTGCTGAAATATATTCCTTCTAAAACCTGTTAAATATCAATAACTAACTCTTATCTTGATGAATCCACAACAAGTAGAGCTTAAAGTATTTTAATTTTTTTAATATTTTGTATACTTTATACAAAGCTTATTTGTATAGGAATGTCACTGGTGTTACGTGTTACCAGGAAGAAGAGTAACACCAGTGACGCTAACACCAGTGACAATTTGGAGAAAACACTACCATTTTAACAAAATGGCTGCCCTGTGTCAGACCAAATATGGCTTCAGTCAATATCAAAATCGTTTAACTCTTCAATACAATACATTTTCCCATTCAAATGTTCACCCCTAGGGCTATGCAATGAGTAACACTAATGACAGACTTGAAAGACGCATGTAAAATTTGAAGATAAAAATTACACCTTTAACAAACAAAGTAAGAAGTATCTGACTTTCCTTATGTCTTTGTCCACTGCACTGTCTCAAATGATCTCTTGTTACAGGAGGCACTTCAGAGACAGTACATTATTTCAAAAATAAAAGCGTTTTGTGTAGCAAAAACAATCTTTTAAATTAAAACTATAGGCTCCACTTCCAAGGCAGTTCCTTGAACTTGGCATTTTAAATAAATTGCAATTTACGTATAAAACCATTTTTTATTTAGTACCATTGCAAAGACAATCTCTATTTATTCAACATAATGAATGTGAGTATTAGGTCAACGTCATGTATTTTGGTGTCTGCAAAAGTAAGTGACAGCACTTCCACCTTTTCTGTAGAATGACCCAAATGCACGTTTTGTTCAGCCGGATAATCTCCACATGTCTACCCTACTTTTATAATTTTCGAATCATAAATCTAATCGATAGATTATAAAAGGGTTTTAGGATGCGTCACTGCACCACTCTATAGAAGCCAACTCCATCGATCAAGCTGGCTGAAACTTTCTCTCCCTCTTCTTCTCATGCTCCCTGTCACTCTCCTTTAACTCCTCCGGTGACTTTCTTTTATTTGAAGATTGTTTTTTGCACGGCGCTTGGCCGGTTACCGCTGGTATTAAAAACATTTTGACGAATGGTTAGGTGGTTAGGTGGCGCGATAGTCTGTAGTGAAGGAGCGCGCTCCCGCTCACGGGAGCCTGCTCGCGCTCCCGCTCACGGGAGCCTGCTCGCGCTGAGCTCCTCAGCAAACAGCTGTTTGCTTTTCCTCCAACAACGACAACCGACTCACGGAACGCTATGTTGTAGCGTTGATAAACGAAACAATTTAACTAAATTGCTAGTCAAAATACCACAGGATTTTTTTTTTTAAACCAATATTTTTAGTGGCCCGAGCGGGCAAGTGGAAAGTACGTTATGCTGGCCCGGGGTGTCTAAATAGTGCTTCCGGGCCAGCGGGCCATTTATAATGTCGAGCCCTGCTTCAACATAGTTACCAGCTCACTATCGGGGAGACGCCTGGTGAGATTATCAAGGATTGACTGGTAAAATTGGGACTTCTTTACTTTAGGTTGAGTTTCTCTAATATCAACCCCTTTGAACTGGCCGCTTGTTATGCCCGCTTTGACTTTTAGTTCAGTTTTCCCATCGTTGTCCTTCATGGCAGAGAGCACCTCGATCGTCTGATCTATGTAGCGGCTTGCATCAACCAGGGACGTGTCGCGTTTCTGTAGTTTCAGGGAGAGACTTTGTAGTTCACGTAACACGTCTTTCATTGTCGCTAAATCAGTGAGGAATCCAGTGGATGTCAGATGCTTTAGTAAACCAGTGTACTTGGCTTTCTCTGCACCGGAACGTGAGCCATCTTCACTAGCAGATTTAAAGTGATGTGCTAACACTGGGAAGTCCTTCAGTACAGCTTTGACAGTGTTGTAACTGCTGGAAACCCATCTAATTGTAAAGACTTGTCCGATTTTCAGAATCTGCATGTTCAGTTCCGCAGCCGCTTCCTCTAACTCCCTGGGGCTTTTCGTGGACTGGTGGTAAAGAGAATAGAGTTTAGCGAGGACAAACTCTAAATGATTACAGCCTGCCACAGCCTTCAATGAATCATTCACCGCTAATTCCAAACGATGAGCTAGACAATGAACTGCCTGAAGACGAGGGAAATCCTTTTTCAGCCTGGCTATGAGTCCAGTCTGTCTCCCGGTTAGCACGGCAGCACCGTCTGTGGCTATGCTAATTAGGTTTTTACGAAGAAACTTTTCATCCATTCCCCCCGCCTGGAGGCTGTTTTTCAGTGCGCCACACAGCGACTCTGCATCAGTGCCCTGGTCCAGTTCAACAATGTCAAAATACACATTGTCCATATCTCCATTCCCAGTGACATCGCACCTGACATAAATAATCAGGTATGCGCGTCCATGAATTGTGCTTTCGTCTAGCGTTAGACTAATACGGGAATCAAGTGATTTGATATTAGAAATACATTTCTTTTTCATCTCTTGTGCAATGTGCTCCACAATCTGGGCACATGAATGATCGGATCTGTGAGCAGGGCCGACTGTCGCACCATTCATCTCATTAAGTTGCATAATGGGTTTCAATTTTGTATAAGGCATTCTTTCTTTAGCGACAGTATAGGCTGCCCTGAACGAACTAGCTGTCTCATTAAACAGGCTGGAGCTGAGTTCTGCAACTTTCTTCGGAAGCACTTGTTTTAGTTTGAGCTCCGCTATTTCAACAGCTCGTTTATGAGCAATAGAGTCGCGGTGTATGTAAAACAAATTCCCCAACTGCTTCTGCACAGGGCTACTCACAGTCCCATTGATCCAGGCATCCGCCAAATGCGTTCCATATTTTTTCTCCGAAAGTAAGAGAGTCTTGGCTTCCTTACAGACGAGGCATCCAAGACCACCCTCCTTTGAAAACAGCCAGGGGTTTCTTTCTTTCCAGGATCTCCACTGATTGTGTCCCCAGTTAAGTGGCAGTCCTTCTGTAGCAGTACCTCCTGCCTCCTCATGCCGCTCCGCTTCGGAACTTTCTTCGTGTGTGCAGGTGGTCCCACATTCAACAGCATCAGGTCCGCTAGCAAAGACAGCATCCTCCGTAGCTGCAAGGTTAGTGCTAGCTGTCACGCTAGCAGGTGCATTTTGGTTGTCAAAAGCTGTTTTTTGTTTCTTTGTGAGAAAACCAAAACTAGCCAGGCTTGTAGACCCCGTCGGCAGCAGTGGCCTTTTTTTGGGCGGCATAGTACTCGTCTGCTAGCCTACGGTACTCGTAGTATGTGTGTATCTTGTAAATATATTTGAATGTATGTTGATATAACGGTTCATTCTTCGGGCGCGCGCAGCACGTTCACAGCCTCACAGGCATAGATTGCGCAATATTTTATTGCGCACCTTAGAGGTGAAGTGCAGGCATATTGTCATTCAAGAGAGAATACGATGCGTAGTTCTTTTGGAAAACATTGTTTTGTTTGCCTATTTACCTCGTTAACGTAAATAATACTCATTACATTGAAAAATGCATTATTTGTGATCAAAATAATGGTTGTTGGTAATGTATATTAGCGACCCCCACAGATGTTTGATTTCATTGGGTCCGTGGGAGCTCAGGCACCTCCTTATGGGAGCTCAGCTCCCATTGGCTCCCACGTAACTCGAACCCTGATTCTAACGTAACATAAAGTACCGCGACCGCTGTTTGCACCATGTCATCGTTGGAAAGCTGAGTCTCTCCTGCACAATCTCATCAGATCCAAATATGGTCATTTCCTTTGTATCAGCAACCAATCGTGAAAGTACAAAAGGGTCTTAAACCAAGAAACGAAATCTCATTGGCTGGTGTCAACTTCTGACAACGTGATTCGTTCAGATGCATCACGTGATGTGCTTCCAATCACTTCCTGGTTAGCTTTCCGCTAGAAATGTAAATCTCAAAATGGCAAAGGAACGGCGAAAAAAACGTTCACAGAGAAGACAACAACAATTGTCACTTGCACGAAGCAAGGTTATACAAAACACAAATGACCCCGAACATGAAATACCTTCACGGAGTGCGTCGATGCGCAAGCTGTCGTCAAAAGAACAGGAGGGTTTAGCTAGCGCCTCACTGCAATCTTTAAAGGTCCTTTTCTCAAAATGAGTTTTTTCTCCTACTCTGAGTTCGAAATGTCCACTTCAGTTGCACGTACATACACCAAACCTTCCAAACCAAATATTCCTATCAATATTATGAAGGCTTTTACAGAAGGGTTTGTTCATAGATCATTCATAGCCTGAATTATATAAGATGTTATACCTAGAAACATGGCGAAAATTGATATTTTAGGGCTGTTGACAGTATTTTCTGATTTATGGAGTGATACAAAGAGATATCCAAAATCCCTTCTGTGAAAGCCTTAGATGCTAATATGACTACAAAATGAAACGATAATTTTGAACCTGGCTTTATCCAAAGTTCAGATTTCGGTTCCTGAAATGTGTTAAAATATGCGCAAATTTAATGAGATAATGGCTCATTTGCATATTCAGAAAACTTGTAATATAAGAAACAATTGCCTTATTGTAGGTAATTAACTGGAGAAATTACCCTATTCACCTGGGGTGTCTCGCCTTAACTTTAATAAACCATTATAGACCTTAGCAACAGCTGCACATGCCCACATTCTAACTATGGGTCTTACAAACCTACATAACATTACAAATAGTCAGAAAATATTATTTACAATATTAATAAAACTATGAATTCAATTTTAACTGATTGACAAGGCAAAACACTGCACAGCGGCAGCAGCATTAAAGGAAAAATATCGTCTTACCTTGTGTTGGGGCTTCACAAAACTCCAAATGTAGCCTGGGGTGGCACTAATGAAGACCCTCATTAGAGCAGATACATCCACATTGTCCAAAATGTTACTATGGACATGCATTAAAGTCAGATGTGTCAGTCTCTTCTGTGTCATATTACTCTAGTTGTAGAGGTGGTGGGCTGAGGAGTAGCTGGTGGTCCACTCTTTTTATTGGGTTGTTTGTTGGAGAAAAAAATCCAAAATCCTTTTTGCGCCATTCTATAAAGTTGTCACTCTGCAGTGTGTGTGTCGCGTCAATTACGTCACTCTCCCACGACCTATGACCTAGATGACTCGGATTTTATTTATTTGGAAAATAAATTCAAGCCACCTGATATATGCTACTGTATACAGCTAATTTTATTTTAAGTAAATCATAACTATTTTATGTAGTTTAATCATTTTTATTTAGGTGGTCACTCAAATGTACACCACTCGTCAACAGGGGGTGCTGCAGCACCCCCAGCACCCCTACTTCCCGCGGCTATGGTGACGACCCACTTTGATTCATTCAAACATTCGAACATTCGAAAATGCTTTCTGCTGCTGCGGACAAGAAAGCCAAACAACTCACGTTCACCGAGGCATCAACCTCCAAAACCCTTTCGAGGGCTACAAGAAACGAGGTGAGAAGCCTACAAGATTGAAGCTGGTCAGATAACGAACGAGTAAATGAAAACAGAATGAGGCGGAGAAGTGTGTGTGTGTGTGTGTGTGTGTGTGAGAGAGTGTGATTAAAATAGCCCAATTGCTTTTACAATAAATAAACATTGAATGTGTTTAATTGAATAGTAAAGGGGTTTAACGGTAATGGCAGGTTGTGTGTGAGAGAGAATAAATAAGACAGCCCAATATTTAAAAATATATATTTAGCATATTTCGCAACTTCCCGCAATTTCACCGCATAAAATCCACATAAAAACCCCGCATGTTTAATCGCATAATCAAGGATTTTTGCCCGCGTTTTTCTGGAGAATCTATTGCAGATTTCTGCATGGTGTATCTTTGTCACACCTGCCAAACAAAGAAATGTTGAAACTGTAGCAATTAACTCTCCCGGCTCCCTTAGAGTCAAGTTTCCAGCAAAAAAAAAACATGATTTATGTACCTCGTGTTTTGCCTAAATGTTGTTGATTATAAAATATCTGGTATTGCATCATTGCTGCAGATGCTAAGGTTAAAAATGAGATCAAATCTGTCTACTGATATCAGTTTTAGACACTACAAAGGCAAACATATGAGGACCCTGATCATACAGTGAGTAGAGTAAAATATTAGGGTTGAAAAATCTAGAAGATTGCAAGCACCTGGTCTACAGGCTTACGGCATTCGGGATAAATGCATGTATGTGTACCTGAGCTTCCTGAGGCATCTGATGGTGAAAGACCGCACGGCTGGGTCGGGAAAACTGTAGTCCAACAGCTCCAGGGCATGGATGGCAGGGAGGTCCCGCCAGTTACTCAGTAAACTCACCATCTGAAGAGAATACAATTTACACTTTTTACTATAATGAGAACAATTAACACCAAATAAGCACAACTGACTTTGGTAATCGCCTGATTTTACTCTAGCAACAGCTTGAGGATTATATTTTTAGTTTGGAAAGAAAGTACTCAATCATCAAGTCAGTCAGTTGTATTTAGAGTAATGAATAGTATACAGTATCTGCTAAACATTAAGAAATGAGGCATCGTCTACAGCCCTATTGATTGGAAAGTCCAGTCTGACAGTGGTTTCTCAGGACTAGACCTTTACAAGAAAACATGTGATACACTAAATACATTATAGTAAGGAATATATATAAAATCTCCATTAATACCTGAACTACGTCCTCGCGTCGGTTCCACTTGGTGATGAGGAGCAGCTTGGACAGACTTTCATGATAACGGTCACGGACTTCTGTGCGGAGCTTCCACAGAAGGTCCTTCTCATCCTCAAAGAACTCTGTGTAGTTTTTGTTGTCCATGATTACTTTTAGTTTTATGAGCTGCAGAGAGCAAAATGCCACAAAGACGTAGAAATATGTGGTTAGCAGGTAACAGCCTTTAACTGAGTGAGAATAGTGAAATGTGAGGTGTTGAAAGTCCTACCTCTTCTTTTGTTGCATTGGCTGCTTCATCATTCTTCTCCATGTCACCCACCTGACAACAGATGAGAATGTTTTGGACTCACTGTGCTACAGATAAGACATTTCCGTATGCAAACAAATAAATCCTTATGAGAAAAAGTACCTTGTCCAGTGGAGGGTAATAGAGAGGATGTGGCCGGATGTTTGGGAAGCGGATGAGAAGCCCGGCAGCACTGTCTACATTTGGGTTCTTCTCCACCGTTCCCATTGGGTTGAACAGGTCGGTTTTGTCATCTGTGATAAAACATTTATTTATTAAAGTTGCCGTTTGGTAAGGCAAGGCAAGGCAAGGCAAGGCAAGGCAAGTTTATTTATATAGCACTTTTCAACACAAGGCAATTCAAAGTGCTTTACAAAAAATGAAAGACATTAAGAAAATGGCATTTAAAATCAGTCATTAAAAAGAAAAGCTAATAAAATAAACATTAAAAGAAAAAATACATGGATAAAAGTTACAGTGCAGTCTAAGATATGAATAGTTTAATTAAACATTAAAAGAAAAAGTACATGGATCAAAGTTACAGTGCAGTCTAAGATATGAATAGTTCAATTAAAAGCAGCGACAAAAAGAAAAGTCTTCAGTCTGGATTTAAAAGTAGTCAGAGTTGCAGCGGACCTGCAGGTTTCTGGAAGTTTGTTCCAGATATTTGGAGCATAATAACTGAACGCTGCTTTACCATGTTTAGTTCTGACTCTGGGGACAGAAAGCTGACCAGTCCCTGAAGACCTGAGAGATCTGGATGGTTCATAATTTAGCAGGAGGTCAGAAATGTATTTTGGGCCTAAACCATTCAGTGCTTTATAAACCAGCAGCAGTATTTTGAAATCTATTCTTTGACACACAGGAAGCCAGTGTAAAGACTTCAGAACAGGAGTGATGTGATCCACTTTCTTAGTGTCAGTGAGGACTCCAGCAGCGGCGTTCTGAATCAGCTGCAGCTTTCTAATAGATTTTTTAGTGAGACCTGTGAAGACACCATTGCAGTAGTCGAGTCTACTGAAGATAAAAGCATGGACAAGTTTTTCCAAATCCTGCTGTGACATTAGTCTTTTAATCCTAGATATATTCTTTAGGTGATAGCAGGCTGATTTAGTAACTGTTTTAATGTGACTGTTGAAACTCAGGTCAGAGTCCATGACTACACCTAGATTTCTGGCTTTATCTGTTGTTTTGAACATTGCAGACTGAAGCTCAGTGCTAACTTTTATACGTTCTGACTTGGCTCCAAAAACCATTACCTCAGTTTTATCTTTGTTTAATTGGAGAAAGTTCTGACACATCCAGTCATTGGTAGATGAGTTAATAATTTTTCTTGTAATCTATTCTACTAACTACTGGCTACATTTTCATATTCATATCACTCCAATATCTCAAAAATCAACATTGGGTTTTGCTTTTCTAACAGCAGAGAAACATAAAATCATTTTAGCGAATACAAATATATCCATAATTTAGGTTGAAGTTACCAACTCTGATTACTATATCTTTAAAAGGCTATTTTGTGCGAACACGTTAGGTGTTAATGTGTGGGGTTGTGATTGCGCCACATGTCATTTTCACTGTGGGGCTGCCAGGCACTGAGGAGAAAGCTGCCGACATGTGAGTTGTTTTTAAAAAGGAGGAAATGCAGAAAAGGGAAGGCCTGCGAGTACCAGGAACAGACGGCCATGTGGACAGGAGGAACTCCCCAGTCTTCAGCTGGTCCTTGTAGTCGAACACCATGGTGTTCACCCAGGCTATCGGACAATCCTGAAGAGAGGGACAAGGAGGACATGGTTTGTTGTTTGGCTTTGAAGACCATCTGCAGGCAGTAAAATCATGCAAAAAGCAGGAGAGAGATAAAGAGAGAGTACGCTAATTTTTATTTAAAGTGTCAATACAAATAGAGGATCAGATTTACGAATGTAGATTTTTTGTTTTATCAATACATTTTTTGTGAATAATATAACTTTTATTTTATTTTATTTCTATTCCACACACTACCTTCTCATTTTGCTGTAACTCCATCATATACAATGTTGTTGTTTGTTTTAATCTGTAAAGCCCACTGAGACAAACATGTTTTATGATATTGGGCGATACAAATAAAGTTGGATTTGAATAGATTATGTCATCGTTTGTAATAATTTGCCTCCACATCTAAATTAACATCCATCTGCTTTTTTGAAAGCAGAAAGTAGGCGAACATTTTTCTATCTAAAAATATATATTTATGATTTTTTAAAGGTAAATTACTTTCATCAATTAATCTAAAATGTATTGAATTATTTTGTTATCTTCCTAGTATAACATTTCCTTTTGCTATTTTGTATTAAAATCAAAAAGCATTAAGATTACGTAAATATTTAATGAGAAAACATTTTTAAAGGGTGTTCATGGCAGCATTTCATTCACGATTCATCAAGCCAAGGACTTTGACGATTCTGGTTCAAAACTAATTACATAGTAATAATATTAGATATAGTAAAAATAGGACCTAGGCAGTGACTACTAAAAATATAACATGACTAAGATATTTGTTTAAAACACACACACATTTAGACTGAGTGCACCAGGCTGAAAAAGAGACTATGCACACTAAACCAATAACAGCTAAAATAGCTCAACTGCTGTCTGTCTGCAGGACTTCTCTTACGGGCAAAAGAAGAGAGAAGTGGCTCAGAAAGCAGAAGTGGCCTTGATGCACATAAACACACCTGGGCACTATGTTGGGCGGACTTCAGAAACATGTTACCCACAATGCTTCAAAACAATAGGCCAGACCACAGTTGCAGAAAAAAAAGGGGATTTTGCTGTTGTTCACTGTACTTGTCAGTGTACAGTGAGCAGTGTGTGAAGTCTCTTAGAATACTGCTACTGCTGTCATAGTTTTGTGCATGAATGAAGTAAATGACAAGAGGATCGATTACTTTAAAATGTGTGCTTCTGTTGGCATGTTATCTGTGTTACTAATATTGGCACTGGTTACATTTGACAAAAATTATAATAGTTAAACTAAATCGGCCAGTCGTTATTTGTGTCGATGCTTCAGCAAGTTGTTCAGTTTTGTTGTTTCAATTGTCTGTTTGTTTTTTAACGTGATGTCATGGATAGTTGGTCCTGTGTTAATAATAATACATATTTGCACATTTTGTTACGCTCAGGTCTAGGGGAACCTAGGCGCAGCACAAAGTTTCACCCTCCCCCACTTTTCCCACTCCCAAGAACATGGACGCCAAGGCAGAGCATGTCGTTTGGTATATTTAATTACCAAATCAGAATCCAAAAATACTTTCACAAAAACATGCTGAAAGTGTGATTACAAATATAACAAACAGGAGTAACAAAACCACAAAACAAACTAACCTTTAACACAAAAATCTTACCTAACAAATGAGAAAAATAAACGTATAGGCTTCTTACCTACTCTAACGTAAAACAGGGGAAAACGAATAATCCAAAAGAAAAAGGGTTTACACATATAGAGAAGATCAGACACTGCTTCTGCAACGTCAATGTTTATCTGTACTTGTCCTTTGCAAAACAATCTTGATTTTAAATATTAATAGGAATACATTTTTAATGTAATAAGACGGGGACTAATAGAAATTATTCATTAATTATTTAAACTGCCAATTGTTTTCTATTAAATGACACAACATTGTTAAAACATTAAGCTAGAGACGACAGTTAAAAAGCATATTTTGTCCAAGCAACAGGCTTAAATTATAATATATTGAATTAATAGAGCAATTAAAAAAGGAAAGCAGCAAATGTTTGGTATTAGTTGCACAGTTAGTAGACCTTAACTACTCAGTTCAAGCCTTAACCGCGAGCAGAGGAGCTGTTACCACGCGTGGCGACTGATAGGATGATTTTGGAATTCCTTGAAAATGTTTGTCAATTCCTTCCTTCCTTGCAGTGATGTACAGATAAAAGAGCTGAAGCGGATGAAATGTTAACCGCAGCCTTGCCACGGAACACACTTGCACAACCAGACGCAGCAGCACAACACACCCCCGCAGCACAGCACTGACTACACACACTACGCAGCAGAGAGGAAGCAGATCTGTTTGTGCTTGCCAACAACTTCACACCCACGACCACCAGCCCAAAGTACTCGCCTGCTCCATCACAGGTTGTAAACTAAGCAATGAAAACATAATGAGTTTTTGACAAACTCACCGCTTTCTTATTCTTCTTTTTAGTGCCGCGGGGTTTCTTGGCCTTCTCGATGACAGCATAGAGTGCAAAGCACAGGCGGCTCATGCGAGGCAGGTCAGCCACGTTTATGTCAAACTCCAGCTTTTGATTCCACAGCGGCTCAGAGCACACGGACACCTCCATGGTTGTCACCACCTTACAGAGGAATTCGCTGCCATGGAAGAGGCCGGCCTGCACCACAAGCTAGAGGGGAAACACAGACACAAACAGTATGGATGAGATGGACATATCACATGGAGTTTGGATGCTGAAAAGTTTGCGTGAGGGAGATTGTTTTTGGAAGATTTACAGAATTCACGAGATGATTCAGAGTTTCCTGTGTCACGCTATGAGTCAAAGGGTCTACACAATCATAACACCTTTCAATCCTATGCAAAGTCTGTCCAAAATGATAAACAACCACCAAAGTCAAAATTCAATATTGTGGGGCCATTAAGCTTGTGCCTTTTGCCAAATCAAGATAGTCTAAAGCTATACTACCAAATATATGAGTGGTTATTCTCCCTCAGGGCGTGTTTTCTAACCTCTGCCTGCCAAATGCAGACATGACTGATAATTGTGTGACAGGACACATTTGCCATGAGTCATGATGTGCTCTAAGGCAACAGCCCGGAAGTGCACTTACTCTTAATAACCCATCTCAACCGTAACATAGTTAGTTATGAAAATGACTCACAAACAGAGACACGCATTAACAGAGTTCCCCTTTCACTCGTTTTCTTATTTGTCAGGGGGAAAAAGGAAAACTGAGAAAAATGGGATTTCTACATGGACATATACAGGGAAACTACCTTTAATGAACATTTTGAAACACACTAACACTTAGGTCATGGCCAATCTGCAGTAGTAACAAAATGTGTGCAACGCTTTCAAAAAAGAAGTGCATTGAAAGCGAGAGAGGGGTGACAGGCTGCAGTCTCTTTTTCTTAGAATCTAGGCCTCAGAATGAGATGTAAAAGCAGATAGGCCCTCCCCACTTCCTGTTTTGAAGTTTCAACCAACCGCCACGTTGAATTATGGGAAACGTGCGGTCTGGATCATGTGACCCTCTGTCATTTACATGTCAACTTGCTGTTCCTACAACTGAAATTGAGATATTGGTAAACAAGTGAATGCCACATTTCATTGAGCAACAAACCCACGTAAAACCACACCAACCTTCATTCCTTCGTCGGCATTGACTCGGCTGCCCTGCAGCAGGTGAATGTAGAAAGGCTCATTGATGGACCATAGAGAGGAGGTGTTCTGCTGCAGGAAGGAGTCACAAGATAGGGACATTTTATTTGTATCCCCTATTCTTTTCTAAGTCACATAGAGCTTTCGCAGAAGTTTAAAGCCGCAAAGCTCTTGCTACAATTTCCTGTTTGGCAACACGAAAACAAATAACAATGACACTTTGAAGAACAACAATAAGAAAGGGAAACACACTAGAAGAAACTGAAATAATTAATTTAATATTTAACCCAACCTCAATTCATTTTAGACAGGGGCTTAGGAGGAAAAGTCCAAAGGCAAGAGAAGAGGCAATTCCTGGACACTTCTGTTCACTTTCAATAGAAGTATCGGTACCTTAGACATTTATCTGGTAAAGCCATTAAAACTTGAAAACACACAATTCACTCTACAAGTGGAGTTTCAAAGTAGCCAATATGTGCTCTATGTCAAACTACAGTAAGAGGAGTGAAGAGTCAATTATCAACATCGTGTTGCACAGCATGTTTCAAGTAGGCCAAAGTCCACAGTCCTGTCGAGGAACAACTGTGACGAGCGAGGAGAGAAAAAAAGTTGCCGCTGTTAATGAAAGACGTGTAACTCTTACCTTCTTCAGGGGCAGTGGAGGGGGTCTGGACAAGGAGCGGTTTCTGTATATCTGACTGCACAGGCCCTGGTCATTCTGATACCTGCGGATGGTGGAGTGGTGTACCATGGTGACCAGAGGGTTTTGGCCATTTCTTATACAGTGGAAGATGTACTGTAAAAGAGAGAGAGAAGAAGAGGTTGTTTATAGCCACCAGTCAGCTCACCCACAGATATTTCCCAGTGTTCTGATAGCACTGGTTAACTCCTGGAGGCTGTTCATTTGCGGTAGGTTAATGCAACTGAAATCTCATTATGTGTGGATGGATGCAGATCCTTTCTGCAGGGCTGCGAGACAGATATGAGTCACCCCTGCAGGTTGATGGAGATTTTAATTCAACAGCAGAGTCTTGTGCCACCAAAACCTTGACTCAGCTCACTCCTGTTCTGACTATCATTTCAGTTATCATGGACCACCCGCACAGAACTTAGGCAACATGCAGACAAACAACACTGAAAATAAAATCACCTACAACCACTGGGAAACAGCTCTCAGATCAGATTGTTCGCAATCATTATCCACATATGTATTCAAATCCCTTTAAAACAACATCATGCAGATATAGGCAGCCTGAGGGATTTGAAACAAATGCACAGTAAGATTATTCAGTGCTTGTTTGAAAGAATTGTGGAAAACTACATCTGGTCTAATGTTGTCTGGAAGCGTGTGGGACCTTCTGAAAAAAGTGCTGGAAGATTATTTTTTTGGTGTGGTGATACTAGAATATTTGCTTTTTCACACTAAAAACTGTTAGGAATAATCACAAAACCACATATCAGCAACACAACAACATAACTAAGAAGTATCATGTTAGAGAGATTTTTGTGTAGATGGTTTGTGAAAATAGAGGATCAAAATTCAAAACACAAACAATATGATGGAGGAAAATCAGCTACATTCTGACTGATAACCAGAAGAAAAAGCTAAAAAACAGAGCTTTATTTCCACACGCTGTTGCTGCAGTTACTCACTTTGAACTGGCACAATGGATGTTTCCCGTAGATGAACTCCCACCTCCCGTTGACCTGCAAGGTGAAATCCTCCGGCTCTTGTCGCACGGAGCGAAAGACCGTGGCCTTCTTCTTCAGGGCACTCCTTATCAGAGCCACTGGGGGGTCCTGGGGGTCCTGCTGCAGCATGAAGCTTTCCTGTAACAGATACATTTATAAGAAATAAAGGTTCCAGCATTACAGAAAATCGAACTGAATGTAGCCTACATGTTGGTGTTTGTGGCGTGAGAGCGGGCTTTCCAAATGAGCTCACATTTACTTAAAATCCAAACCAATATGACTCACAGAACAGCAGATCTACTCACATCTGAAGCCTCAAACATGACATTGATGAACATCTTCTTGGTGTTTTTTGACTTTACGCTCCCATACTCTGGAGGGGAGACGCACGGCTCCAGGTCACATGGGAAGCTGTACTCCATCCACTGCTGCCATGGCAACATCTGGCGCTCCTGAGCCTTCTCTTCACAAAATGCACGCATCTTCGTCCGAAACTCATTCACCTCGTGGTTCTTCTGGGCTTCAAACTCATGGAGACCTGAAAAAATCATAATGACAGTGTCAGGAAAAAAAATCAGTGAGAGGAACGCTTTGCACGGGTTGAAAGATTTATTTATAAAAGGTTAACTTCTGCAATGTTTCGGTGGTTTATACTCAGTCTAAACAATTTTTCCGGACTGACTGAACAGAAGCTAAGTGAACAAGGCAACAGAGAATATAGTGAAATCTTCCTGCAACTGAAAAAATGAATAAGCATTACTTAGTCTAGATGAGTTTTATTTTAAAGTAAGAAACATTATCTCATAGCTAGTGAGTAATATGTCAACCCTTCAAGAACATTACCATTAGGAATTAAAGAGACAAAAATACCAATACAGTTTTCTAACTCTTCTAACTGCTCCAAATGCAGTTATTCAGTTGTCACTCAGCCAATGGGATCATTTCTGCCTCCAGAGCAGCTTTAACTCAGTCTAGTCCCAGACCTCTGAATCACTGTCACATCTTCATTTCATTCATTTTAAAAGTGCTGCTGTTGCTATGGCTGTTTCCCTGAATGGAAAAACAACCGAGCCAATCACAGTTTTATGTGCAGGGATAAACATTGGGTTCGTCACCTTCCTCTGCTGGAGCCTTAAAAATGGTGGCAGAAAAATTAAAGTGGATGAGATCACAGCTGGTACCGGTTGATAGTCTTAAGATATTCTTAAGACTACATATTTCTTAAATCAATGTGTAAAACCAACACAAACACTACAAAATCTTCCTCGTTACCCAAAACAAGAGAGCTTTCACCCTTGTTTGTGACAGTCAGACTGAATAAAGAAGTAAAACCGCAGTTCAGTCTGAAATAGCCATTTAGTTTCACTTCATTATCTTATTAAATGAAATGATCAATACTAATCTGTTTGCATCCCTGACAGTGATTCAGAGGACTGGAACCAGGCTAGAAAACTCCTGTCTTCTTTTTAATAATGAGAGAACCACTAATATCTCTATAAAGCTGCAGAACTCTATTAGAGAAGGACCTGCTGACCTTTGCCGATCAACCAGCTGATCTGTGTGTTGGTGAGTTTTTCCACCCGGTCGCCCTCCCTCGCCACCAGCCTCAGAACACACATGAAGGGCCGTATGTCGCTTATGCGTCTCCATTCTTCCTCCAGTTCCTCTCTCTCTGCCGTCTGGTTGATGCAGGTGAAGACGTATGCGTCGGGATCACCCAGAGCACTGAAGAGGGCCTCGCTTCTGGCATTTTTCCAAACCATCTGAAACAAGAGACAGCAGCAACACATGAGGTTGAGAGCAGAGCGTTGATGAGCTGAAGTGTACAGGGTGTTTGCTGTGAAGTGTGTGCTTGAGGGGTCTTGTAAAAACAAATCGTATAGAAACAGTTATTTAGAACAAATTGACTGGTATCATTACTTTTTTTAAACTGTCAATAAAGACACGGATAAAGAGTAACAAAGGCCATTTGAACTATGATTTTGCAAAGATATTGATCCTGGGTGTTTTTGAACATTTTCTAAAATTCCATGTGAATTCCCCCAGTTGGTAAGACATTTAATCTTTAATCATCTTAACAGCCTCCAAGATTACCATTACTTCACACAGCTTAATCAAAAAGCCTGAAGTGGCAGAACTGTTGGCATAGAAACTGGCACATTTAGCAGCAGATCTGCTGGAGCCGTGCACACCGAGGAGAGGAAAGCTGTAGCTCCCACTAATAGTTGCATCAAACTTCAAGATGAATGAAAAGCACCAGCAAGCATTGTTCGAATGTTATCATGTTTTAATTAGTTTAATGTCTGAAGGGAATATTAAGTCAACCAATTTGCCTAAAAGCATATTGAGTAAATACTGTAAACAACAACAGCATTTCACAACTGTGGTCACCAGAGCCGCAGTGCTGCAAACAATCAATTGCAATCTATGAGAAACATAGTGCTATCCTCTAACACAGTGCTTCTCAAACTTTTTTCAGTAATGTACCCCCTTTGAAACATTTTCTCAGCCAAGTACCCCCTGACCGATCCAGAACATTTTTGATCGAAAAAGCCTATATAAATAATTACAATATAGTGATGTTCCCTCAGTGTGTGATGTATTAACTCCTTCGTGGTATGCATTACAAGAAACTAAGGATATTTTCACTTTATGCATGAAAAAAAACAACATAACACTTTTATAAAACAGATTTTTCCAAGGAGTTTTTCAATTTAAGTAATATGTTATTGTGAAAAACTATCAAATACAATACACACATTTGACATGTTTATATGAGGACCCCCTTGGTGGTTCTAGGAATGTTTTATATAAAATTGTGTTTTCTATTTAACTTATTCTACTAAGATTATTTTTTTAATTAACCTTTTTTTTTTTTTTTTTTTTAATCTCGCGTACCCCCTGCAGTACCCCAACGTACCCCCAGGGGTCCGCGTACCCCCATTTGAGAATCACTGCTCTAACAGATAAGATATTATGATGATATTATTAACATAGTCTCTGAAGGTTTTTATGATTTCTAAAAGTAGCTATTGATAATTGCATGTGGATGAGAGGGGACATACCTTTTTGAGGGTTTTGATGGTGTCGTTTGGAGACACAGGGAATTTGAGAAAGATCCCAGTCGGCAGCAGGAAGTCCATCACAATCTCCTGGTCCCCCTTCTTCTCCCATTCCTCCTGCATCCCATACTTCCCTGGGGGCATGGTGACGGCCTCTCATTTACCGTCAGCTCCTCTGCTGCTCACCGGAACAAAAGCCAGCCGTCCAAACAGAGGAAACACAGCCAAGGTTAATATGTCCACTATTAACATCAATGTTACTGTGCAGTGTGTGTTCATAAAACCGAGGAGGATTTCTCTTTACAGGGCAATTTAATGGAATCACAATGAATCACATGAATTACTAAATAAATCACACAGTAAACAGTGGCTAGTATTAAACATTTTCCCCTGATCCCTTCCTACATCACCACAATGCAGTTTTAAGCATATATACACAAGTAAAACAATATTTTAAATGTTAAATTAAAGCATTATTGTTTCGAAAAGTGTGTTTTAGAGTGCTGCTTTCAATTGATAATCCACAGTGTAATGCCTTCAGTTAACGTAACCCATTTGTAAAGCTTAACCCTAAGACTGGATGTTCTAGAAGAAAAGTGTGCTCAGGCGAATAAGGTGAAATAAGGTGAAGACTCACTACAGAGAAGCTTTAATCCACTGATTCATAAAAACGAATGCCCTATTAACTTAACAGTTCAGGTATTGTATGGTCATCTTGTTGATGTGGGGGGAAGGACCGTGTCTCTAATGTATTGGTCATGTTTGTACAAATTACGATTCGAAGAATGATAACATCAAGGCAATTGTATGTCCTTTTGGTGTCCAGGAATGATTATATCTGATATACAACAGGTGCAGTTATGTAAGCATCTACTATGTTTTTTTGTGTTGCGTCTGTAAAAAAGCAACATAACAAAAAAAAGAAATGTGACGTCCTGATTCCTGCAAATGTATTCAGCTGACTGTTCAGACTGAAACTATTGTATTACTAATTGTAATTTTCGATAGGTTTCCATAAAGTAATTCTACACTATTGATTTTGGTAAGAGGAAACTAGCTGCATTGTTACTATCTTACTGGCTGATTCACGCATACGTAAAGATGTATTTGAACGAACTTACCTACACTATGCATTTTATCACATTATAAATTAGAAACATATTTGAAATCAGCAACGAGGAAATCTAATAGATGATGCACAAAACAACAGTGAGATTTCGCTGTCAGAGTGAAACTTATGTATGACAGCGAGGCTTGCCAACCTGTTAGCAGATACTTGCCTGTCAGCTCTACACGCTGGTCATCCCTTCATGCTTTAAATCCAGCGAAGATGGACGCTGTCTCTTCACGGTGACATGTCTCTCTACGGATGTATCGGTGAAGTGAGGCGAGGTGCCGCTCAAACGGACCGACACGGCTCCTGAGAAGCGGCGAAGTGTTTCCCTGCGTCGGTCCAGTGCGCTGTCATTCATGCAGTGATGTAGCAGCACCGCCCGCTGCGGCTAGGGACCGTCTGCCAGCACTTCAGGCGCCAAGTGAAAGTACGTTCTCTCTCTTTAACTCTCCCCCCCCCTCCATGTCATGAACAAAAAGGTCAAATATGTCCAAGTTACAGTTTTTCATAATGTGAGAATGAGCTGCTGCAACATGCTATAAAATATATATTGTATTTCTTTAATTTTCTTCAAAAGTCATCAAAGCAAGTAAACGACTCAGCCATTGATATTGTTATGATAGTTTGATTGAATGTTTGGGTTTTAGAACCAAAAAGTACCACAATGTAAATATATACAATCTTGTTGCACTTATAGTCCCTATAGTAGAAGTACAAAAGTATTAGTGACAACATGTACTTTAAGTATTACAAAAAGGATTAAATGCCAAAATATAGGTTTGCTATAATATATTGATGTGTTAGTTCAGTTGCAATTTACTGCTGTATTTAATGGTTTTATTATTTTGAATCTATTTTGTAGATGAATCACAAACAAAAAGCAACTCGTTTTATAAGCTCATCAGATGTTTATCTAAAATATTTATGTGTGTTAAGTATCAAATAGCTATCAAATAAATCAAAAGGAGTAAAAAGTTAATGTATTGCTAAAATGTTTTTTTGAGTAATGCACAGTGTCATCAAATATAAATACGCAAGTCCTTTTACTTGATTAAAAGTTTAAGAGCAGTATTTGAGTTAATGTACTTTGTTTAATTCCTCCTCTGGATTTGAACTGTTGGTCAGATAAAACCAATTAAATTAGTCACATCTGTCTTTGGGTATTAAGAAAGGGGCTTGGAACATATTAAATAAACAGAATGAAAGAAATAAGGTCAAGTCAAACATCAAGTTTATTGTCAACAAATTAGGAAAGCTTCTTTAATTTGTCAATGACCCAATTGTTAGCTTCGCATGTTTAACATGTGACAAAGTATCTCGTACTTTTCAAATGTCTTGTAAATCAAACTGAGGTGAAGTATTTCCAGGTACTGTAGTGTCACTTCAAAATCCAGCCCTCTGACATTGTTATATTAAAACAATTGAGGTTAAAATTGTGCAACCTCTTGTCAATGTGCTTTTAAGAATAGCCAACGCATCATTAAAAAGAGATAGAACATCTCAGAATAGAAAGAATATACATTATACTTCGACTGAGAATTGTTCCTACTATCAAGTCAGCAGAAATTTAAAAAAATCCAGAAAAGTCCCCAAAAATCCCCAATGAACATTGTTTTTCACATTCATTTATCTTTCATTATTTAAGAAATGTTATGTCTGCAATCAAACTGACACTTCATTGGGAAATCTTCCCCTTTTCATATTTCCATCGAAAACTGTAAAAGACTAAGTCAGTTTTGAAGCACTGTGAGCAATGACACCGCTTATTTGGAAGTGGAACATAAACCACAGTTGTACTACCATGAAAAGGGGAAATGCAGGGGCCAACATCAACAGCATGACATTACAACAATTGACTCTGTCAGTCGTTACACAAATACTTATTTGACTTGATATGTTTGCCTTACTGTGACTGGGTAAGACACATCATGGTAAATATAAACATGGGTAATACGTCAGATTGGTCTGCAGGTGTTAATCCTTCACGTCTTGTAGCACTGGTGAAAACAGGAAATGATTGTAGAGAAGAGAAACTTTTGGCTTTTACAGACTGAAAGTATCTACCTGCTTCCCACCCTTCAGTCAGTGAACTATTTTAAACTCTAAGCCCCGCCAGTAGTTGAGCCTTGTTATGTTTCTGACAAAAGGCTCAAATCTTCCTGCTTTTAGGAACTCTGGTACAACAACGCTGTATGGGTCACAGAGTTCAGACAGTCATGCTGGAAATTAAATGAAAATTTAGGGTGTATCTAATGTCAATAATTATGACCCAGTTTAACTGGAAAATAGCAGTTCTATTTTAACAGTAACACAGACATCACCAGAATCACTTCCTTTTTATTTGCAAAACGTTTTTTTTATAGGCTAACTATGTAATAGATGCGTTTACTGTCCTTGGGTTTACCCGGAGTGCTGTGCTGGGGGAGGGGGGGCGGGTCGGAGTCAGGTCAATTTATATTGTACAAATATTGACGGTCTAATAAAACCAATTAGTATACTGGTAAATCAATCTATTAGCACGAGGGAAGTTCCATCATCCTGGAAGGTGGCCACGGTGACACCGATTTTTAAATCTGGGGATAAGGCAATGATGTCCAACTACAGACCAATCAGCATCCTCCCCTGTGTCTCTAAGATAGCTGAGAAATGGGTGTCAAAACTAATCACCAAACATTTAGATAAAGGTTTCGCTCCACTCCACCCAATGCAGTTTGGTTTTCGTGCTCACCACTCCACTGAGACAGCTAACTGTGTTTTTGTGGAAAAGGTTAAATCTATGGGGACACTATTGGACACGAGCCCATATGTAGGTGCTGTCTTCCTTGATCTCAGGAAGGCTTTTGACACTGTTGACCACCAAGTGCTCCTTACAAAGCTGACGTATTTCAATTTTTCGGCAGATTCAATACATTGGGTTGAGTCTTACTTATCGAACAGAAAACAGTGTGTTTTGGTCAACGGTACCAAATCCCCCTACCTTGTCTACCCTGTTGGGGTTCCACAAGGTTCCATTCTTGGACCATTACTGTTTTCTCTGTACATTAATGACTTGCCTAATGTATGTCCTGATTTGAATGTACAAATGTATGCCGATGATACGGTCATCTTTGTATAGGGGAAAAATACTGAAATAATCACATCGTCTCTCAAATGCATTGGACAAGGTTCAACACTGGCTGAACAACATTTGCTTACAGTTAAATGCAAAAAAAAACAGTATGCATGATGTTCAGTAAACGACCAGTCAAAATCGAAGGATCCAATGTGTTTTTAAACGGAGCAGAATTAGAACTAGTCTCCCACTTCAAGTATCTTGGAGTCATACTGGACTCGAACTTGACTTTTAAGAAAGTATCCAATACCGTTAAATTCAACTTGCAACATTTTAAACAAATCAGACCTTTCTTAACTGTCAATGCTGCAAAGTCATACCTCCACTGTATGATTCTATCCCACATTGAATACTGTTTTACAAACTGGTCGTTTGCTTACAACAGCTGTACAAGAGAGCTATCAAGGTGTTTGACAGAAAGCCAAATTCATACCACCACTGTACCATCCTTGAAAAACACAATTTCTTGAGTTTTGACAATTTAAAGTATTTTAAACGTATGTTTTTTTTATAAATGTTTACATGGACTGCCCCCCCCCCCCCCCTTAGGGGAATTCATCCACAAAAACACACTGGACGCTGCACTAGGTCAGAAACCAGAGGAGACTGAAGTCCACCGCAGACGGACCACTTTTGGACAAAATGTCCTCTCCGTTAAAGGCAGCTCATTCTGGAATAGCCTCCCAACTGAGCTACAGGATTGTCCCACTCTCAATAGCTTTAAAGGTCAACTCAAAGAATGGTTGAGAAACAAACAGATGTGCAATCACCGCTAAATGCACTTTAATACAGGGGTATCTCCTCTTGCACTTTATGTAGCACTTTTATCTTTTCTTGCACTTTATGTCGTTGCTGCTATATTGTTCTGCCATGTGGTAAATACTTGTGTATGCTGCTCTTGCTCTTTTGCATATCATGTATTTTGTTTTTGCTATGTTTGTAAAATGTTTTCTTAAATGTTTTATGTGAGGGACTGCGGATGGAAATGAGCTCAAAGCTAAATCTGGCACTGTTACGCTTGACACATTTGAATGTTTTAAGTGTTCATTACTGTGCATTGTCCCTGCCAAATAAACTATTAAATAAAAAAATATTGAAATAGCCAAATATTACAATCCCAAATCAGAAATCCTTCATCCAAGGTTGAGTTAAAGATGTCTCCCCTTGAGAGGGACAAAGTATTTAAGAACAGTCACACAAGGAATATACCTTTTTCATTTTAGAAGTGTCACAATAAGGCTTTAATTGAACAAGAGGATGTAAAGGGGATCAAGCTAAAGTAACAGTTAATGGCCGGATGCCATTATCAAAAGTTTTAATGATTTTAGTTAATTGATAGGACGATCATATGGCTCATGTAGTCAGCAAAAATATTAGTTTCCTTCAGATCTTTGTAAAAAATGTTTACCAGAAAGCTTAAATGTTTTAGTTTTCCACCCAGTTGATGTGATCAGATTGAAAATATACTATATATATTGATTGCCATTTTGTGTTAACCATCATGTGACAACTTGCGCAAATAGGATTGTTCAGCAAAAACGTACACTTGCATTCTTATTTCATACCCACCGAATACAAACATTTCCCAGCGTAACATTTATACATTTGATTGTGATGTGTTTGGAAAGCTTAGAGAGGTGGAGGACATTTGTTGGCACAAATATGTAAGAATATGTTAGTGCACCCCTGTGCTATATCTACAAAAGCCTGTTTTAGGAATACACAGTCCCTTCCTTATCAGCTGTCATACTCAGTCCATCATTGCTAAGGCAACATTTAAGATGTTTGTCTCTTATCAATGTAAACTCAATAATACCAACTCTCAGTATAAAAGTGTCATAGTGGATTGTTCAACAAAGACACATAAATGTTAACAAAAAAGATGCTAGTTTTTGCAGATTAAGTTGACAGATTTAATTTTCACTTATTGTATAGAAAACAGATTTATATACCTGGATAAAGAGCAGATACTTTATTTTTAAAAAGTATGGGTTAAGATGAAACACGCCAATTTTGTTCCTTACATTCACACAGAAAAACCATTTGCTCTGATGAACACAGTGGAATAACAACCATTTGATGCATGAGTAAGAGCACAGGTGTATATTTCTTCAAAACGGAAAACCTTGGTATTGACTTAATCGTAATGTGAAGTCCAGAAGAAAAAAGTACTTTCATTACTTTTTAAATAAAAACTCCAAAATAAATAAATTTTATATTTGACTGAAAACAATCCTCATTCAGGAAAGTTCAAACTTATTGACAAAATATTTACATTTCAACATGAACATGATCT